GGCTTTCATTTTCTTTTATTCTCAGCTCTCTATCAATCAAGGGGAGGGGGAGACACTTTATCTGAACCCTTAGTGAGCAACAGCCGCAACCAGCAGCTGCTAGGACAGTGGGAACTTCATTTCCGGCGCTGACGTTTATAAATGTGGCACAGAAACCAGTAGGGACCGAAATAAATCAAACAGCTTTTCCAGAGGTCCCTAGGGGCTGCTTTAGACTTTCTTTCCTTTGGGGGTCATGTTCCTTCTCTTTCTTTGCAGGGGAGGGGTGGGAAATGCTGTGATTTGCAACATGGAACGAGCCACCCTCTTGCTCCTTTGTAAAAACACTGAGCCCGGGACCCAGGATGCTCTGCGTGAGAGCATTGGGTCCGTCTCTGGATGCGGAGAAAGGCTTGGGGCTTGAAGTCCTGGGTGGGCGTTAGAATGCTGGCCCTGTCACTTGCTAGCTGTCAGTTTCCTCATCTGCAAAATGGGGCTAAGAATGCCTGCCTTGCCCACCTCCCAGGGCTGCCGTGCAGATTGAATGAGATGTCTATAAAGTGAGTGCCCCAAAGCTTTTGATGAGCTCATGCGATGTGGTGAGGGTTCGTAAGGGGCAATGATAAGGACCAGGGTTGTCCAGGAAGCTTTTGGGCTGGGCTCCGGGCAGACCTTCCCCAGTCCATTCCACAAACCTTGGCTGTTTCCTTTCCTTTCAGAATTCTGGGCAAGGAGCATGGATAGTCTGTTCCAAACACAGCTGGACTTTTCCCAATGTGTTTTCTAAGCCTTCCTTCTTCTGCCCGTCTAAATACTGAGAAAATAAAGGTGGACACGTATGATAGGGAGAGAGAAGGAGTGAGGGGCGGGGGTGGAGAAACACTGAGAGAGAGGGAGAGAGAGAGACAAAGAGAGGGCTGCCAAGGACGAAGGCAGGAAGAGGGGAGTGTCTGGTTAATACCGTGCAACTGCGAGCTCGCACGGACCCTTCCAAAGTTCTGTACAAGAACTTGCTCAGTGAGATGAGACCCGGGGGCGGGCTCCACTATCTCACCCTTTTATATTCCCTACATATCCAGATGCTGCACACCACCTTTCACCTGTTTTGGGGTCTTTCTGTGGATTTGGATCCTATCCAGGCCAAATCTTGGCTGTGGCCGGGCGCTTCGGTGCAGGCAGGAGGCTGACGATGCCCTGATCCCCCTCAGGACAGCAATTACCTGTACAGCGTTTTCTTCCAAGTCTCTTTCTGTAACAAGATTCCACCCAGCTTCACTCCCCAGAGGCAACTTGTGTTGCCAATTTCTTGCTATACTTAGAGAGAGAAAACTTATTTTCTTTTTTAAAGATTTTATTTATTTATTTGAGAGAGAGAGAATGAGAGAGAGCAAGCACATGAGAGGGGGGAGGCTCAGAGGGAGAAGCAGACTCCCTGCCGAGCAGGGAGCCCGATGCGGGACTCGATCCCGGGACTCCAGGATCAAGACCTGAGCCGAAGGCAGCCGCCCAACCAACTGAGCCACCCAGGCGCCTGAGAAAACTTATTTTCTTTAAATATTTGTTCAACACTTTATTTAAATAGGTTAGGTACTGCAAAGAAGAAGGATGAACAGAAGACCACACATCTCTATTGTTCTCAGCAATGCAGCCTTGGTGGGCAAGTGCATGCCCCAGTCTTTAAACAAAAGCTGTACATAAGCAGGACCCACTTTCAGCTGAAGACAGTTAACCTTGGAGGTCACAGCCTATACCTGCTTCTTACCAAAATAGTCCTCCTTTCAAACAAGTACAGGGATTCCCTAAAAGCCACCTGAGCAGCAAAATTCTCTTCTATCATATTCCAATTCATGATGATGCTTTAGGGTCACATGTATTCTGGTCCTTCAGCCAAAGTTTGGCCAGTCCACTCCTAAATCTGGTTCTTATGGTAGCTATTATGAAATTCTCACTCTTGCTGCCCTCTGAGGGAGGTGGTCATTCTTTTTTTGTTTTTGTTTTTGTTTTTAAGATTTTGTTTTTTTAAGTAATCTTTACGCCCAACGTGGGGCTTGAACTCACCACCCGGAGATCAAGAGTCACATGTTCTGACTGAGTCAGTCAGGTGCCCTGGGAGGTGGTCATTCTTGTTGACAATTGCCACTTTGTTTTCACTCTTTGTATCTGGGGCCAAGGGAACAGGGGAATGTAAATGAAGGACATATTGTTGAGTGGATGTATGCTGGGTCCCAGTAATTTGATTGCAACTGAAGTTGGAAGCCTGGTAATGTAGACTGAATTATTTGGACTGACCTCACAGTAAAATCAACTAGAAGTGCTAGATAAAACATAAAATATTAAAAAACATATAAAATATAAAAAAAGGGCGCCTGGGTGGCTCGTTAAGCATCGTTAAGCATCTGCCTTCGGCTCAGGTCATGATCCCAGGGTCCTGGGATCGAGTCCCACATCAGGGGTCCCTGCTCTGCAGGGAGCCTGCTTCTCTTCTGCCTCTGCTTCCCTCCCTCTCTCTCTGTCTCTCATGAATAAATGAATAAAATCTTTTAAAAAATTTAAAAACTAAATTTAAGAATATCTTAAAAGCTTCAAAGAGTTGATAAAATACCAAGGAATCAACAGGCCAACATGGAAGAGAAAACCAAAGCATAGAAACCAATTTTCCCGGAAAAAGCATCTGTCAATCCTAGCAAATCTGAACTTTCATTTTGAACACTTGGGAGAATGAGCGGGCTAGAAATCCATGCTCAGTGCCTGCACATGGTGGGGAGTCTAATAGAACATCCTCCCCTCAATACATCGAGATCCCAAAGGACTCCTGCCTGATCCAGAGAACCTCAGACCTGGGACTCTGTTTAGATAGCTCAGGACTGGTGGTGCCCCTAGTGTTTGGCAGAAGTCAGCACGATCCTCTCCAGAGGAAAGCCCCTTCGTATTCATATTATTCCTATATATGTGGAATACATACAATAAATTAATGTGTAATAAATAATAATTTGTTCAAGTGCAGATATTTACATGTAATAAGAAATTATGTAAAGGGACAAAACAGACTTTAAAAACTCCAAATACAAATTCTTTTTTAAAAATTTTTATTTACTTATTTATGTAGGTATGTATTTATTTATTTTTAAAGATTTTATTTATTTGAGAGAGAGAGTGAGTGAGAGAGAGAACACAAGCAGGGGCAGAGGGAGAGGGAGAAGCAGACTCCTCTGCTGAGCAGGAAGCCCGATGCGAGACTTGATCCCGGGACCCTGGGATCATGACCTGAGCAGAAGGCAGATGCTCAACAAACTGAGCCACCCAGGAACGCCCCCCACAATACAAATTATTTTTTTCTTTTTTAAGATCTTGTTTATTTATTTGTCAGAGAGAGAATGAGCAGGGGGAGCATCAGTCAGAGGGAGAAGCAGGTTCCCCACTGAGTAAGGAGCCTGATGCGGGACTCGATCCCAGGACCCTGGGATCATGACCTGAGCCAAAGGCAGACGTTTAACCAACTGAGCCACCCAGGCATCCCTACAAATACTTAAAATTAAAAAAATAATAGTAACTGCAATTAAAATTCAACTCATTACTTTAAAAGCAGCTGAGATGCAGAACAGAGAATTGGCAAAGTGGAAGATAATAGTGAGAAATTACCCAGTATGCAGTATGGAGAGACAAAAAGGGGAGAATGGTGGAGAAAATAGTAGATACAGTGGCTAGAGCCCTAGTATATGTTTAATTAGCATCTCAGAAAAACAGAAAAGAAAAATAGAGCAGAAACAAATATTTGAGAAGAGAAATGGCTGAGAGCCTTCCAGAAGTGATAGAAGACACTAATCTACAGATTCCAGAGGCCAGTGAATCACAAGCATGAATGTCCTGTCTAAACCAGCAGTCGTATGACAGAGGAGGGAGGGATACAGCTCAGAATTGTGGCTTTGATGCCTGAGATTCTCTGCTCCCTTAGACTCACCTCCCTCTTCCACTACCTCAAGCCCTCTCCCCCCAGCCAGGCCCTGGTATCCTACCACTTCTCCGCAAAGGCCCTCCCTCAGACCTCTCTTTCTCTCTTGTCCTCAAGGAAAGGAAGGAGGCCCAGGGTAGAAACAGAAAAAAGAACAGAAGAATAAGAACCAGAAAAAAATCAGAGTAAGAGAGATAAGCCTTACAGGTATTATGACTCAGGAGATGGGCCAGACTGGCTTTGGGGGTCAGCCTGGAGGCAACAAATGGAAGATGGGGATTGAAGATGACGTAGGAGTTGCTATCCAGGATTCTGCTTCTCTTCCTTTTCCTCCTCTCCCTCAGGCTTCCCTCTGATTCTCTGCCTCCGTGACCCTACGTTTGGCAGTATCATGTCAGGAGGACCTGAGCTCCCATATCCATCTACATTCCCTAACAAACAGCAACATCAATAGTCAGGCTGCAGAGGTCGGAGAAGGAAAGACCATATCCCCTTGAAAACTGGAGAATACCAGAGCACTGAATCCCTGGAGTTGGTGTTCCTGCATGCTACTGAAGTTTGGTTGCTATTTGTCACCTGTTAAGCCAGCCCGATCTAGTGAAAGCCACCTGACTTTTCCTGCCCCTAGTTCTCACACCTCCCTGCAAATCCCGATCCCGGAGTATCCTGAGAGCTAGGCTATGAAGCATGGGAAAGTGGGAGAAGAGCCTCCCGACAGATGATTCATATACTATTTCCATCCCAGATATACCCTCACCTCCCCAAGGGGCAGCACTGGGACACCAATTCCCAGCACTCTTTGATTTGCCATTTTTCCCAATGTCTGCTGAGCTCTCCAAAAGCCTAGTGATGGGAATAGACCCGCTCAGATGCACATAGGTGTAAAGAGACCTACTTAATGAACACCTGATTATATCTTAGAGCACCACAGTTAGATGAGTGTGCATATGTGCACACAGATCTGTGTAGAGCTGGGATAGAAAGACTTTGAGACAAGATTAAGAAGATTCCAGTATTTGATTTTTGTTCAACATCTTAGCGAGGCTAAGGCAGGGGTGGCCGCTACTCTCCAAGCTTCTCAATGCTGCCCAGGGATGACAAGAAGAAAGATCCTGGAGAGTGGGCCAAAAAAGACAAAGATCCAGAGAACAAATCTGGGGGCAAGACCAGAGAGAAGAAGTGGTCTAAAGGCATAGTTGAAGACAAGCTCGGTAACCTGGTCTCATTTGACAAAGCGACATATGACAAACTCTGTAAGGAAGTTCCCAACTATAAGCTTGTAACTCCAGCTGTTGTTTTCGAGCAACTGAAGATTCCGGGTTCCCTGGCCAGCGCAGCCCTTCAGGATCTCCTCAGTAAAGGACTTATTAAACCGGTTTTATAGCCTAGAGCTCAAGTCATTTATACCAGAAACACCAAGGGAAGAGATACCCAGCTGCTGGTGATGATGCATGAACAGATCCCACCAACTGTATATTTTGGAAAAGAAAACTATTAAGTCCAAGAAGAAGAAGAAGAAAAAGGAGGAGGAGGAGAGGAAGAAGAAGAAAAGGAAGAAGGAAAAGGAGAAGAAGAAGATGATGATTCCAGTGTTCATCTTCAGGAAAGTTTTCCCTTAAGACAATGAAAATGTCTCCTCCCTCATTTTTACTGCATTTCCTTTTGTCCTAGTGACGTGTGAGGTGGCTGTTCCCTTCCCAAGCTACATGGTGATTTAATTTTTTCTCAGAGGTTTCAGCCCCAATTCCCAGGACTTTCCTTATTGTCTTTCCTCCCCTGGAGACTACCTAGCAATGGAACTCTTGTATCTTGAGGGAGTGGGGTGGAAGGTAATATCCGCCACTTAACAAATGCAAACATGAAGACAGGGCAGGAAGCAGAAGCCAGAGTCTCCGGGTGTGCTACCCCCACGACCTCCAGGCCTGAAGATGGGCCCTGTCCTCAGCAGCTCACGAAGACACTTTGATAAACCTTGCCAGGCCAGCCTGGATAAGAACTCCCTGAACACCCAACACCGGATGGCTGGAGATCGCTGTGAGTCTAGGGTGCCTACGGCAGCCAGAGAAACCCACCACACATTCAGCAAACATGTATGGGTGTCTTCTCTGTCCTAAATGCCTTCTGCATGCACGGACTACCACGAGACCATCGGAAAGAAGGGGCCAGCCCCATAGGACTCATGCGGAAGCCATGATATAAAAAATGGAAACAGCAAGGTGCCGTATAGTGTGCAACTTCTGAGATTTCAAGGACAGAATATGCCTTTAAATATGTTTGGACACTCATAAAACGTCTCTGGAAGGAGACAAATGAAAATGCTCACGGTATTGCATGTGAGGAGAACAAAGTGGGTGAGGACGGGGCGGGAAGGAGACATCCCTTTCATTGTCGTTCCCTATGTCTGTATGACCTATGGAAGATGGCAATCAAAAGCAGACCCCTGCCCCTTAAGGAGCTGGGGGAGGGGCGGGGGAGAAGGCAGACCTGCAACCAATTGCAATCCACTTTGCTCACTGTTACCCCTGAGAGGCAGACGGAGTGAGAAAGGGAGTCTAGGACAGAGGACATCCAAGTTGGCTTGGGGGTGTCGGGGAATTTGGAATCATCATCGCCGCGAATGCTGGAACCTCTCTCAGCTCAGCCCTGCCAGGGCCTAAAGAGCACAGGGAGAAGGGACCGGCCATGAAGCTGCAAGAGCTGGCGGGGGCCGGAACTCGAACTGCAGAGCGTGTGACAAGCCGAGGAGCTGCGCTTTTATCGTAATAGGAAATGGGCAGCTTTAGGAATTTTCAGGAGGGGAGTCACCTGTGAGATTTGCTGTTTAGAGAGAGAACTCTGGCAGGAACGTGGAGGGATAGATTAAGGGGGGCAAGGAGAGGCTGGGAGACTGGTTATGAGGTTAATTCGAGAATCTAGGTGAGCGAAGGCAGATGGATGACCTGGGGCAAGGGCAGCAGAAGGAGGGGGGATGGCGGGGTGGGGGAGTCGAACCTGAGACATGCGAGGGGGCTACAATGTGTACGGAGAGCACATATAGATCCAGCTCTGCAGCTCTTGGTTTTCTTGCTCTGGCGTCTTCTGCACATTCAGGGCCCCAAACACCCCTGGCAGCTGGTGGGATGGGTCTGGAGGGGCCACTTCTCGGTCTGCCTGCCTGCCTCCGGGCCCCAGGCTCCAGCGCCTTGGCAAAAAGGGGCGGAAGAACGAGAACAGAAGATTCTGCCTTGCTATTCAACTCCGAGGTCTCTCTTATTTATTCCTCGCTCTCTCCCAATTCGAGTCCTCTCATTATTTCGAGCTGTACAGCTCGCTGCTTCCCTGGCTGGGCTCTCCCACCACCGTCTGCGAGGTGTCAATCAAGCCATCAGATGAGCAGCTCAGCCTCACGTCCTCGGCGGCTCTGCCCCAGGACACGAGCAGCAATTGCTGACACTCAGCAGCGTGGTCTAGGGCTTCCGGCTCTTTCTTTAATGGTCTTCCGATCCAAAATGGGTGTTAAAATGGAATTTGAGGGGATCGCTTCTCTCTGCCTGCCCCCGCCAGGACAGCCACAAGGACGGGCAACCCTGAGAGAGAGGGGAAGCCTTCAGAAGTCGGTTTCCTTTTCATTTCAAGGCTGGGCCGTGGCCAGTGTCTGCTTTCTGAGGAGCTGTTTGAAATTCTTAACAAGAAGCCGAATGCTTGAGTCCGGGAATCCAGGGCAGGCTTGTGAAGTAGGGATGGGGAAATGGAATTGTCATTTTATTTCTGAAGGGATATTATATTAAACAAAGGAGAGGTGGGCTACAGAGCCGCTTTTGTAGCTTCCCTGGAGAACCGAACAATAAGAACTGGCCCAGGGGGAGGGGGGCGGGGCAGCAGGAAGAACTGAGGTTAGAACAAAGAAAGAACTTCCCCCGGCCCTGGAACCAGTGACTGGGGAGATCTGAGGAATCTGCTTCCCCAGGGGATTCCTCCTTCTCCTTTTACAAATTGTGAATGGAAACTCAGTTTTGATAGAATATGGAAGCTAATGAGCATTAAGCTCAATTACCGTGCCAAATTCTCTTTAGATCTTTGATAACACGCACACACAGAACTCACGGTTGTGATCCCAGTGCGTCTATTTGTGTTCTGTTCCTTTTTCTCAGGATGATTTCATACATACACACATTTCTATGTAGCCCACAGTCCACAGCCTGTCATTTTGAATCGCTACATAGTATTCCGTTGTGTCAACGTGCCAGAATTTGCTCAGTGATTCCCTGTGGCTGGGTTGTTTCCAGTTTTCTATATTGTAAGAGCATGGCTGTGAATGTCTTCATACCAATGTCTTTTTCTTCCCTTGGATATTTCCTGGGGGTAGAGTTCCTCAAGTCAGATTTCTAGGTCAGAAGGTGTGAACCATTCTACCGTGGGTGCACGCTGCCCAGCTCTCTACAGAAGGCCCAGACCATCTGAGTCGCCACCCTATTCTCTCTCCTTCCCCCCAGCACTGACATCAGATTTTATCATTTTTATTTATTTTTGCTCATTTAATAGGCACATAATCGTACCTTGAAGTTATTTAATTCCCATTTCTTTCCCTGCTGGTGAGGCTGGGCACATTTCCATGTGAGGATTTATTGTCTGCTTTTCCTTGTGTGTAAACTGTTCATCTTCTCTGACATCTTATCAAGAGGAAGCCGGGGGCTGACCTTACATATTTCTATCAAGCTTTTGCATATTTAAATAGTACACTTTCCCTGTTATGTCTACCATCCTTTACCTCTAAGGGAAATGTCCAATTGTGAGGCAGATGCTAGCCCGTCCATGTGGGTTAGGGGGTCAGGTGGAGGTGAGATGACTTCTGGATTCTAGAGTGTTTTTTTGTCCCGAAGGAAAAAAAAAAAGCCAGTCATATGGTACCCCTTCTCTGGACCCCCATTTTCCTAGTAAAGGAGGGGCTGGGCCGAGAAGACAGCTAGTTGCCCAGGCCACTCGGGGGCATCCTTTGCTGAGGGTGGGCCACTTCGCCAAGGCTGGGCAACCACCTGCGATCACATGGATTTCCTCATCCAGTATTTTTTTCCCACTCACAGTGTGGCCATGAAAGAAACAGCAAACTACTGAAATCAGAATCATCAGCATGAGTTCTGAAGAATTCCCGGTATAGCCCAGTGGTTAAGGGAACAGGATCTGGAGCAGACGACCCCAGGTTCACATCTCAGTGCCTATGCTTACCAGGTGTGTGGCTTTGTGAGCCTTAACATCTTTGGTTGTAAAGAGATATTTCAGGAGCGCCTGGGTGGCTCAGTCGGTTAAGCGTCTGCCTGGGGTTGAGCCCCACAGCCATCCGGCTTCCTGCTCAGCGGGGAGTCTGCTTCTCTCTCTCCCTCTGCTCCTCCCCCCAGCTCCTGCTCTCTCTCTCAAATAAATAAAATAAAAAATCTTAAAAAAGAGGTGTTTCAGTTATGGCTGCATACAAAACTACCCCAAAACTTCGTGGCTAAACCAACAACTATTTCTATTCTATCTCATGATTCTGTGGATCAGGAATTCAGATGGGGCTTGGCCGGGTGATTCTGCTCCATGTGGCCTTAGTCGGGTCACTCAGCAGTATGGAGCTGGTGGCTGGGCTGGGGCTGGGGGTCCAAGATGGCTCCACTCTTGTGTCTAGCTCTCCGTGCAGTGTCAGGGCCTCCCCACATGGTCTTTCCCACAGGGTGGTTGGACCTCTAACACGGTGGCTCAGGGCTGCAAGAGGGAGTGCTGCAGGACCAGAAGAAGAAGCTCTCAGTGTCTTAAGGCCTGGGCCAGAAAGTGTCACTTCCGCCATATTCTATTGGTCATGCAGTCACAGAGCCCATGATGGGAGGAATGACAAAGAATTGGGGGCCATCTTATTATGCCCAAAGTGGGGATAAACATATGGCCTCCTGTGGCTGCAGGGATTAAACGAGGTGATGTGTACATAGGCAGATTCACCATGAAGCTAACAGAACTTCAACCACAGGGCTCCTTAACTGGACAGTCTCTTCCTAGTCCTAGGACCTAATTTTGGATTCATAAATTTTCTTTTCCTTTCCTTAAAGAAGGCCCCCAAATTGTCTAAGAACCAGGCCCTACAAATCCTAGCTCTGTCCTGAATGCGGGTAGTGGGACTTCCAGAGGGTGGTGTGCTCACTACAGGGCCCCTCCCTGCCCGGGGCTGGTGCCCGGTGCCCCCTCTGTGCCTCAGGAGAAGGCGCCTCCTCTCACTCTGTCCTTTCCATTTGTTCGCCATAATTTCTTCTCCTTCGTAAAAACCAAAAGTAAAAGATGCTGAGAATAATTTCATAATCACAAAACTGCCATCCCGATTGTTCCCTGCGTGTACCCCTGACCTCACCACCCACCAGGGAGGTGGGCCTTACCCTGGGCAGAGTGCCAAGTTCTTAGCTCGGCCCTTTAGAATCTCCAAAGGAAATCAGGCTGAAGGGAGGGAAGCCAGCAGGGGGAGGCAGCATTCCCGGTGCCCAGCTTGGTCTAGGAGGCATTGAAATTCCAGGGCCGAAGTCCCCGAGACAAAGATCATAATGAGACAGGAAGGTGGCATAGGAAGGAGCCATTTGCATGACAATAATTGAGCCAAGAATAGAAAGCTAGAGGGATACAAGGGTGAGGCTGGCTGCTGAGCTGGGCTAAACCTCAGAAATCAGACGACCAGGTTCTGCTCTGCAGGAGAGGCGGGGGCTAAGCCGGAGGCCCGGCTTTGCTGGGAGGGAGGAGTGGGGAGAAGGACGCAGCCCAGGGGATTGTGGGAATGCTGGCCAGGCTGGACTTTGCCCTACTCCTCCTCCTTTAGCCCAGAGCCTACTTTTGCTTGCTTTCTCCTTTGTGTGTGGGCCTTGTAGCTGTAGGGCTAAGCGGGCATCATGGCTGCTCAGAAAGATCTCTTTGATGCCATCGTGATCGGGGCAGGCATCCAAGGCTGCTTCACTGCATACCACCTGGCCAAACACGGGAAGAGGGTCATCCTGCTGGAGCAGGTACTGTGTCCCCTCTGCACTCCCCACTTTAGGCACTGTCCCTCCCTCCTCCTCTAGGGAGAAGTTTCCAGAGCCAGCAGGCTTTGGGGTGAGGCCAAAGGGTCTGACTGTCAAATTTTGTGCGATTTGCAGCTTTGCTGCCTGGTGTATTTCATGACAATGCAAAGGAAGTTCCACCCTCCCTGAGACCTATATTGGGTTTCTAGGCACATTTCCTCCTTTTACTGCCTGCCCTTGATCAAGAAGTATCCCAGGTCCTGTTCTCTTCCCTCCTGCCACCCAGGCTCTTCTGTGCCAAAATGTTTGCTCTCGCCCAGAAAAATAATGAGTTCTGTTTTGGGGTAACTTAAGTAAAAATAATTTTGCCCAGAGGGAAAAGCTGATTTGTCAGCCTAAGAGGTAAGATTCTTCCCTGGGTGTTCTGGCCTCTCACCCTGGAACCCAGCAGAGACTTCTGTTTTTTTCTGCTACTTCTGGTTAATAGCAGCCTTATTGTTTGATACACAGGAAATAAGACTTAGGTCTTGGGGCGCCTGGGTGGCTCAGTTGGTTAAGCGACTGCCTTCGGCCCAGGTCATGATCCTGGAGTCCCGGGATCGGGTCCCGCATCGGGCTCCCTGCTCGGCAGGGAGCCTGCTTCTCCCTCTGACCCTCCCCCCTCTCATGTGCTCTATGTCTCTCTCATTCTCTCTGTCTCAAATAAATAAATAAAATCTTAAAAAAAAAAAAAAAAGACTTAGGTCTTATTTGTCCTTATAGAAAAGGTGACCCCACACAGTACAGTCTGCAGTGATCACTGCACATGTGGGGGCAGGGGGAACTATATATCTCCAGGGTCCTTCCCAGGCAGGTCCATGCAGACCACTTTCCAAAGGCTTCTATCCTCCCATCCTGCCTACAGCTATCCTGGTGCGTTTTGGCTTACTCTTCTTGGTAACAAACTGGATTGGTTAGAAACCTTTTTCATTTCTCTTTCAGTTTTCTCAAAGCCTAAGGGAGTCCTGGTCTAACCTTGCAGGAAACTCTCCATCTTTTGCTAAATCCCAAGGTGGTTCCCTTGTCCCGAGTGATCAGAAGCCAGAGAGAAAAAGCATCAGCTTCCTTGTCCAGAAAATGAAGGGGGCTATGGAAAACAGCCTGCAGGTTCCTTAAAAAGTTAAAAATAGAGCTACCCTAGGATCCAGCAATTGCAATACTAGGTATTTACCCAAAGGATACAAAAATACAGATTGGAAGAGGTACATGCACCCCGATGTTTATAGCAGCATGATGAACAATAGCCAAACTATGGAAAGAGCCCAAATGTCCGTTGACAGATGAACAGATAAAGAAGATGTGGTATATATACACAATGGAATATTACTCAGCCATCAAAAAATGGAAATCTTGCCATTTGCAATGATGGGGATGGAACTAGAGGGTATTATGCCAAGTGAAATAAATCAGTCAGAGAAAGACAAATACCATATGATTTCACTCATATGTGGAATTTAAGAAACAAAAGAGATGAACATATGGGAAGGGGGAAAAAAGAGAGGAAAACAAACCATAAGAGACTCTTAACGATAGAGAACAAACTGAGGGTTGCTGGAGGGAGGTGGGCAGGGGATGGGCTAGCTGGGTGATGGGGATTAAAGAGGGCGCTTGTTGTGATGAGCATTGGGTGTTATATGCAAGTGATGCATCACTAAGTTCTACTCCTGAAGCTAATATTACACCATATGTTAACTAACTAGAATTTAAATAAAATTTTGGAAAAAAAAACGAAGGGGGCTAAACTGGAATGATCTCAAAGGTTTCTTTCTTTCTTTCTTTCTTTCTTTCTTTCTTTCTTTCTTTCTTTCTTTCTTTCTTTCTTTCTTCTTTCTTTCAAGATTTTATTTATTTATTTGACAGAGAGAGACACAGCAAGAGAGGGAACACAAGCAAGGGGAGAGGGAGAAGCAGGTTTCCTGCGGAGCAGGGAGCCCGATGCGGGGCTCAATCCCAGGACCCTGGGATCATGACCTGAGCCGAAGGCAGACGCTTAACGACTGAGCCACCTAGCTGCCCCTCAGAGGTTCTTTCTAATTATGCTTCTCTATGAGACCAAGTGGGGAAGGGTTGCAGCAAGATGACCAAAGACTAACCAAAAAAGGGACTTTGGGATGTGAGTAATGTTACCAAGTTAATTGTTATCAGTATTGTTACTGAGTTAGCACTACTGAAGAACTTCTATGCTCATGACCAAATCAGTAACTTGGCCCTAAAGGGAGGATGTATGGAAATATTTGGAGAATAAGCGCTCCTGCTTGACAGCACATGACGAGCTAGCTCCTAAGGGGGGAAGGGACCGTGCAAGGGCTAACAGCTTCGGTTGTGTCTCTGGTTCTCCATTTCCAGTTTTTTCTACCACACTCCCGAGGAAGCTCCCATGGGCAGAGCCGGATAATCCGGAGGGCATACCCCGAAGACTTTTACACCCAGATGATGGATGAGTGCTACTGGATATGGGCCCAGCTGGAGCGCGAGGCTGGAACCCAGTTACACAGGTTGGCGGGTGGGGGAATTCCTTGAATGGTGGGGCCCGGTGCCTGGAGGTGCTTTGAGTAGGTGAGAGGGCAGTGCCATGAACTGCCATGAACACCCGAAATGCAGTGGAGGGACACAGGGCCTAGGGAGGCGCCAGACACATGCGAGCATCCTGCTCACTGTCTTGATTGCCCCATCGGTCCAGCTGGCTCCCGTCACTGCTCTGAGTTCCAAGGCTGGGTTCTGAGCATGCACCCAGGGCCCGCAGAGGGTGTACTGGGAAGACTGCTGAAGACACTGGGAGCAGATGCCCAGAGCTGAAGTTTGTATTTGCGTCTCTATGGAGCCATCTGAGACTCTTTTAGGGCAGGGATTGAATTAAGGAGGAGGCTGTTGTCTTGGTTCTTTATATTGCTACTAATATCATAACCTTTCACAACGGGTCCTCTCCCCCAGAGCGACCCTTATAATCCATTTCATTGTCTCTGAATGCCTCTCCCTGTAAGCCTCCTCTTCAGGCCCCATTGCTAGCTAGGGATCTCTGCTGCCCCATGGCTCTCTAACCCTTAAGACTCCTCCTCCCTCCCCAACCTCCACTGGCCTTTCAAACACTCATGGGGAAGAAGGCAAACAATCCACGATGCACAGAGGACTCTAACCACCCCACATCCCCTCCCACCTTCTCTGTGGCTCTTAACTGAACTTTCTACAAAACCACGGCTCTATCCTACAGGGTGGCAGTTATTTTAATGGCCAGGAACCAAGAGGTTACTGTTCTGTTGCAAAAACACCATTAACTTAAGAACAAAGTGAAATCCATTATGCAAATATAGCTAGGACAGCTAATTACAGATTTATTCCAGAGGCAGCTAATGCACCCAGCACCCAAATAAAGGAGCATGTCTTGCTGAAGGGTGGCCTGGCAAAGGGACCCCTCTCTGTCAGTCATCTGTGAATACTGCTGAATTTCTGGTACTAAAAGAAGTGCTGAGGCCTTGGAGGGCACACTTCTTCCCAGCGGACATGGAGGTAACTAAGAGATGTTAGGAGAGTGTCCGGAATCTTTCAGAAGGGACATGATTCTGGAGACAGGCTTGAACTTGACTTTGTGCTCTACCTCTTACTGGCTGTGTGACATTGGAAAAGTTTCTGTACCTCTCTGTGCCTCATTTTTTCCTCACAAGGCTTTGTGGAGGGTTAAATGAGACTTTTTTTTTTTTTTTAAGAGAAGGAGGTGGGGGAGGGAGGAGGAAGAGAGAGAATCTTAAGCAGGCTCCACACCCAGCATGGAGCCCGATATGGGGCTCGATGTCACAACCCTGAGATCATGACCTGAGCCGAAATCAAGAGTTGGATGCTTAACCAACTGAGTCACCCGGGCGCCCCTTAGACTCTCATGAAGTACTTGGCGTAGAGCCTAGCCCCTTTCGATAAATGGCAGCTCCTTCTTTTTTTTTTTTTTTAAAGATTTATTTATTTATTTGAGAGAGCGAGAATGAGAGAGAGAGTACATGAGAGGGAGGAGGGTTAGAGGGAGAAGCAGGCTCCTCGCTGAGCAGGGAGCCCGATGCGGGACTCGATCCCGGGACTCCAGGATCATGACCTGAGCCGAAGGCAGCCGCCCAACCGACTGAGCCACCCATGCGCCCCATGGCAGCTCCTTCTACCTATGCTGCACCAGCTGTATCCTAGCTCCACTGCACAGGGAGGAAGAAGTGCAAGAGGAGACAGGTGGGATGCAGCAACTATGGACATCAAGGAGAATGGCGGCTGGAGTGAGGGAAAGGAACGCTTGGGTAGGAGATTCTCATAATCTCACAGTTCTCCTCTTGGCAGGAGGACAGGAATTTGGAAGGGCTTTGGGACCAGGCGGACCTGGCTCTCCATGTCAGCTCTGACACATTTAGCTGTGTGGTTTGGAGCAAGCTGTTTAACCTCTGTGAGACTCAGTTTTCTCACCTGTAAAGGAGGGGTGTCTATTTCATGGGGCCGTCGTGAGGATGAGTCTGTGAAGAGCTTAGAGTGGTACCTGACAAGTCCCTCACTATCACCCTCATCACCCTTATCACGTATTGAATGCTCGGGATAAGAAACTAAGGCTGCTTTAAAAGTACTCGATACATGTTAACTCATTTAATTCTCCCCACAACCTTATGAGAGGGTTGCTACTGAGTAGTCAGGGTCTTAACCTATTAGTGCAAATCGCAAGCTTACCACATTCTTAGTCTAGAATAGGGCTTGGCGAACGTTCTCCGGAATGGCCATAGTATTTTAGACTTTGCAGGCCAATGGTCTCGTTCTAACTATTCAACTCTGCCAGTTACCCAACTCTGCCATTATAGTTTGAGAGTAGCCCCAGATGATACGTAAATAAACGAGCATGGCTGTGTGCCAATAAAACTTTATTCGTGGATGCTGAAATTTCATGCACTTTTCATGTCATGAAATATTATTCTTTTTTTAATCAACCATTAAAAAATACAAAAATCGGGGTGCCTGGGTGGCTCAGTCGTTAAGCGTCTGCCTTCAGCTCAGGTTATGATCCCAGAGTCCTGGGATCAAGCCCCGCATCGGGCTCCCTGCTCAGCGGGAAGCCTGCTTCTCCCTCTCCCACTCTCCCTGCTTGTGTTCCCTCTCTCACTGTGTCTCTCTCTGTCAAATAAATAAAATCTTAAAAAAAAAAATACAAAAATCATCTTGGCTTGTATGACAAACAAAAATAGGCTATAGACCCGGTCTGGTTCCTGGGTCACAGTGTGCTGGCCCCTGGTTTAAAAGATACCACAAACTGGTGGCCTTGTCCATCCCCTCTGTCCCAACAAATTCATGTCTAAATCATCCTGGGTCGAAAGACTGCTAATGGGGCGCCTGGTTGGCTCAGTTGGTTAAGCGTCTGCCTTCGGCTCAGGTCATGATCCCAGGGTCCTGGGATGGAGCCCCGCATTGGGCTCCCTGCTCAGCGGGAGGCCTGCTTCTCCCTCTGACCCTCCCCCCTCTCATGTGCTCTCTCTCTCTGTCTCAAATAAATAAATAAAATCTTAAAAAAAAAAAAAGACTGCTAATGTATATTTAAAGACAGGAACATATCACAGACCCTCTTCAAAGACCATTCTGATGCCTCACCTCCCCAATTATGAAAAATGAAGAGTAAAGTGAATGTGCTTTGGAAATTCTTTTGAGTTCTACAGGGTGCTAGGTGTTGCCATTATTATTATTGTTACAATCATCATCAAGTCCTTTCTTATGGCTAATCTGATTTACCGGGGTACCCTCATTTATTTGGTTCTTTGACTTAGGAACACAGAACGGATATTTCCCATTCCAATTCTTTTCGCTTTTGTTCTTGACTCTGATGTTCTAAATGATTTATCATCTCTGTGGTTCTTATTCTCCTAGGTTCTTCTGGGAGAACCAGCACATCATCATCATCTAGCTGATAGATATGAATGTGTTTACTTAATGCTATTTGATGGTGATTAAACAAACAAACAAACATCTCCGGGAGTTGGTCGTTCAGGTGGTTGTCTGATTCTTTTTATTCTGTCCTGCCTCTTCCTGTGACAGTGGCCTACTAACCCTGGGTGGGCTCAGGACATTTGCATAGATTCCGGGTACAGACGGCGGCCCGCGTGTCAGATCACAAGGGCTGAGTCTTTCGTGATGTGTACAGCCAGGACGCTGATACCACCAGCAAATCCCAGCTCTGGGGCCCATCTCTCGCTTGCCCCGCCTTCTCCCTTGGAGTCCTAATATCTCGCTCCTGACCCGGGCTGCCCCTGCTTAGCTGACAATATCAGACAAGATCACAGCCGTAGGCTCTACAGCTGCCGGCGGAACCTGGCAGCCCCCTCCGCAGCGGCTGCTTCCTGTGTCTGTGAAGTGTCTGGCTTGTCAGCCACATCCCCTCCCCGGAGCGGTCTTTGTTAACCAATTCCGCCTCAGCCCCCTGAGCGGAAGATGAAAGCCAAGAGCTCCTCCAAAACCAACAAAGACAGCAGCTATTACTGAGTCCTTTCTCCACGGTGACTCTGGGAGCCCGTTTGGCAACTCTTAACCCCCGAGAGGGGGAAGTGAGAGCCTGGGATGGGAGGTGGCAGGTGCAGGGGGAGCTGTCTGCCCCTCCCAATGCCTCCCTGCGCCATCGGGCCTCCTGTCCTGCCCTAGTAACGGATGGAAATCTCTGATCACCGGCTCCTCACATCATGTCCGAGGCTTTAGTTGGCTAGAGGAGTCAACAAGGCCCTTGGGAGGATTCTTCGATTACCTCTTCCTAGGGCTGGATCCAGTGAAGGTTGGGGGAAGGCACAGTTCATACCAAATGCTCTGCACTCAGCTGATGGCGTGCAGGGAGCTGGGAGCTGCACTCTTTCCAGGGTCCCTGACAATCCAGCCTCACTTCAGGGAGCTTTCTTTCTAGGCCAGCCCCGACCGGGCAGTTCCTGGACAATTTTTTTTTTTTTTTTTTTTTTTTTGCAGTGGTCTATCTCTTCTCATTCCTCTCCTCCCCAAACTTTGTAGCCTAGGTCTGAGCCGAAAAAGAGCAGAGGGAGGCCCAGAGCACAGGGGTGAGAAATTGATGCAGAATGAGCGGTCTGTTTATTGGGATCTAGGAAAAGCCATTAAGAAAATAAGCACTTAAATGATTTTCAATCTGCCCATGGAAGTCATCTGTCTTCATACTGGGGGGAAAAGGCCCATTCTCTGATCCCGGTCTTGACTGACTGATTTCCAATTCTCGGAGCATTTCCCGCAGGAGCCTCTCACCTATCTCCCATAATGACAGGCCTTTGCATTTGCAGGCAGTGTTTTACATTTATTTCCGATTTGCTCATAATGGTCAAAAATCTCTCTCCAATCCGAGACATTTCTCCAGCAGTGCAAGGTTTCCCTTAGGCCAAATAGCTCAGCTGTGATCCACGGAAAATGAGAATTTCCCAAATGCATCTTCGGGCTAGGGGAGGGTCCAGCATCACAAATTCAGATGGAAAATTTCCCACTGTTAGATCAATATCTGGGCTAAGAAATAAATGCCACAGGGGCGAGAGCTGGAGCAAAATGATTACAATCGGCACAATTACATTCACCGGCAGAATCAGCTCACTGATTACTCCTAGGGGTGGGGGCCCTCGCTTCATCCACCACAGGATGGCTTGGGAATTAGAACATCACTCAGCATTTCATAATTCGACAGATTTGCCTGTTGTCTTGGCATGAGTTTGTTTTCCCCATACAGCACCTTCCTGTAAGAGGAGTTCTGACTTCAAGGGAAAAAGGAAGGAAGGGAGGGAGAGAGGAAGGGAAGCTGGGTGGAAAGGAAGTAGCTAAATCGCAGGGTACACAGGAGACTGCGGTCGGTGTACGTCAGGCAGGGGTTGGAATATGCTGCTCTGGGATTCCTGAGCCAGGGGTTTGACATGATAACTGCTGAGGCAAGGGTTAAGCCAGGTCTTCCACAGAATCCCACCCAGCCATGACTGCATCCAGTAAACGGGGTTCAAGATCATATACTTGCATGACTTCTTAATGATCCTGTTGACCGAGAAGTGTCCTAGGCAAGTTTTCATTACCTGAGAATCAATCTGAAGTCCTTTTGGGGGCCACGGGGAAAGGACCCTGCTGGCTAGTGGGGATTCAACAGCATCTTTCCTCTGCTAAGCTTTGAAGAGGCCGAGACGCTCATTCTTTCTCACCGGTGCTGAATGCTGGATAGGCGGGGGCCATGGCAAATGGATTGGGCACGCTGTGCGGCTCTGTGTACTGACGCCAGCCCCAGGGCCTGCTGTGTCCCTAGCCCCTCCCAATCTTCCCTTTAATCCCCCCAACCAGATAATGGGGGATTTGGAAGCATGTAATATCCATGAGACTCCATTATAGGCTATTACGAGCTTCATACACAGTACCTGGGGGATGTACCAGGCTGATGTTGGTCACTGCGGCTGCTGAAAGGGAGAGGGACGGCAGCAATGGTCCCAAGGGCCACAGTGACCCTTCCATTGTTCAGATCCGTTCCCACCAAAAGTTAGATCAGCTCTGGTCTCTTGTGACACAGAGACGGGAAGTATTAAAGAGAAACAGCTTTCACTCCCCTGGAGAGTAAGAAGCAGAAAGGGAAGTAGAGGGAGGAACAAAACCATAGAATCACGGAACTAATTGCTGGAACCCTCAGAGACCACCTACTGGTGTTTCTGCATGAGGGCACTGTCGGCATTTGGGTGGGATCTTCCTGAGCTTTGCAGGTTCAGCCCACTAAATGTGAGGAGCCACCCCCAGGCATTGTGGCAACTACAAAAGTGGCCCCTGCCAGGTCCCTATGCCCCAGGGTCGGGGCGGGACCACCAATAGTCCAGCAGGCTTGCATTACAGAGGAATCTGGGGCCTGGAGCGGTGTGCCACCAGGACAACGTCACAAGGGTCTGCCAGGACTGGACCCAGAGCCAGGACTCCCAATTTAGGATCCTTTCCACAAAATGGGCAGCCTCGGAGGAGGACCCGAGAGATGCGCAGCAAGGGACAAAACATGATATGAGAGGAAAAGAGACAAAGGAAAAGAAAGAGCAGGGGGTAGTGAAATAGCGGGGAAAGAGGATAAAGAATCTAGATCAGAACAGTGAGTGGGTCAGGGGATGGAGGAAGAGGAAGAACGACCTACCACTTTCTAGGTGCGGCAATAAGAGGATTTCCGATGTCCGCCCGAAGGGCGGGATGGATCCCGAGAAGCTGGAGGGACAAGCATACCAATCGTGAGAGCCAAGGGCAGACTTGGGAATGGGCTGGCAGCCAGCTCAGGGATACTGAGTGCAACCCTAATGACAGCACCAACATGACTTTACCAGTTCTTTTTATTTTTTTAATTGTTAAAATATTTTTTAAAAAGATTTATTTATTTGAGAGAGAGAGTGAGCATGAGCAGGGGGATGTAGGGGGGCAGAGGGAGAGAATCTCCAGCAGACTGCTCGCTGAGCTCGGAGCCCCACGCGGGCTTGATCCACGACCCATGAGATCATGACCTGACCTAAACCAAGAGTCAGACGCCCAACAGACTGAGCCACCCAGGCACCCCCATTTTTTAAAATCTTTTTAAGTAGGTTCCACGCCCAATGCAGGGCTTGAACTCACCACCCTGAGATCAAGAGTCGCATGCTCTACCGACTGAGCCAGCCAGGTGCCCCTGACTTTACCAGTTCTTTGAACATGAGACTGGGACCCTCCTTGATGGGACCCTTGCTGAAGAATGAGAGAGAAGGGCCCAGGGCCGTGACTCATACCCTCACCCATATGCCTTTCTTTTCTCTCCTTTCTTTCTTTCTTTCTTTCTTTCTTTCTTTCTTTCTTTCTTTCTTTCTTTCTTTCTTTCTTTCTTTCTTTCTTTCTTTCTTTCTTTCTTTCTTTCTTTCTTTTTCTTTCTTTCTTTCTTTCTTTCTTTCTTTCTTTCTTTCTTTCTTTCTTTCTTTCTTTCTTTCTTTCTTTCTTTCTTTCTTTCTTTCTTTCTTTCTTCTTTCTTTCTTTCTTCTTTCTTTTTACAGGCAGACTGGGCTACTGCTGCTGGGAATGAGGGAGAATTCAGAATTAAAGACCATCCAGGCCACTTTGTCTCGACAGGGGGTGGAACACCAGTGTCTTTCAGCTGAGGAACTGAAGCAACGTTTCCCCAATGTTCGGTTGGCCGGGGGAGAAGTGGGGCTCTTGGACAAGTCTGGAGGGCTTCTCTATGCAGACAGGGCCCTCAGAGCCCTCCAGGTAGGATGTGCAGCGTCTGGGGCAATGCAGCTCCTCTCGTGGTTCCAATATACCGCCCCCAGCCTCCTTGGGATGAGAGCCTTCACCCTGCTGGCTTTATTCTTGACCTTTTGGGCAGAGGGCAGTCTATATACCCTGCTAGGCCTTGCCAATACGGGACTGGAGGTCTGGAGTCTGCGCTCTTTTCTGCCCAAAGGGAAGGACTCTGTTGTTCACCAGGGAGAACCATCTAGCTATCTAACTAATTTGCCCTTCCTGGCCGCTGCCCTTTCAGGATGCAATTCGACGTCTTGGAGGCCTAGTGCGTGATGGAGAGAAGGTGATGGAGATAAGACCAGAGCGACCCATCACAGTGAGAAGTACCTCCAGGAGCTACCAAGCCAAGAGCTTGATCATCACAGCAGGTCCCTGGACCAACCAGCTCCTCCGCCCCCTGGGAATTGAGCTGCCTCTCCAAGTAAGGGGGGGGCTGGAAGTCTGAGAGTTGGTGCTTAAGAGAAGACACCTGGGAATCAGACGGACTCGAGTTTGAGTCCTGGATCTGCCACTTATTGGTGGAGGACCTTGGGCCAATTAGTTCCTCTCATGAGCCTCAGTTTTATAACGTGTAAAATGGGAATAGGTCTGTTAGAGAATTAAATTATAGAATCAATAGAAAGCCCTCAGGAACTCACTAAATCTGAGACATTATTAAGTGCTGGAGAGAGAGAGAGAGAAGTAGGGCTGGGTGCAGTTATGGGAGACTAAGTCTGGGGGAAGAGACAGGGATGCAGAGATCTTTGTGCCTCATATCAAAATGGAATATACCGATGACGTGAGAATTGGGTGAAACAGGATGGAAGAGTTAAGGGGGGCATCCGGGTTTGTATTCAAGAACTACAGGACTTCAGAAGAAACTGTTCTCGCCATCTGTAGAGTTTTATGGCTTTCCCCCTTCATCTCCCACTTCCTCTTTCTGCTTCAAGACCCTGCGGATCAATGTGTGTTACTGGCGAGAGAAGGTTCCTGGAAGCTATGGTGTGTCCCAGGCCTTTCCTTGCTTCCTGGGCCTTGGCCTCAGCCTGGCTCCCCACCACATTTATGGGTTGCCCTCTGGAGAGTACCCAGGGCTGATGAAGGTGAGCAGAAAAGCCCAGAGAGGGGCTCGTAGGGCGCCCCCCCGGCTCACCTCCCCCCACCCAGATTTGGGGCAGCTGCTCTAACTTCCCTTTCAACAGATTCCTGGGATCCCCCCGCAGCAGGGGCAGGAGAATACTTCCCTATTCGCTATTTGCAACGCAAGCCCCCCAGCTGTCCCGAGGCCCAGCGAAGGGAGCCCTTCCTCTGCAAACATGGTGTTGTGGGGTGGGCGGAGGGAAGAAGGAACAGCTAAGGCAGCCTCCTGTCAGGACTGGGGAAGGCCGGGATGATGGATGGGGGCACTCTGTGTGTGAGCCTGCCCCCTGGGCCGGTGGGGGGGGGGCGGCGTGCAGGCAGGCCAGCCCCTCGAAGCTCACACTGCTCTGATTGGGAGCTAGGTCTGCTATCACCACGGCAACAGTGCCGATCCTGAGGAGCGGGACTGCCCGGAAGCCCTCTCGGACACCCGAGACATCCAGATCCTGAGCCGCTTTGTCAGAGATCACTTACCTGACCTGGCGCCCGAGCTTGCCGTCCTGGAGCCCTGCCTGTACACGGTAAGGGTGTGGGCAGCCCTCTCACGGCCCCCAGAGGATGGGGGAAGGGGACAGCCAGACCCTTAAGGCCCCGCTCGCTTCTGTTTGACCCTGACCTGGTATGTGACTTGAAACAAACGAGCTTCTTTCTGTGCGTTGGTTCCCCTCTCCCAGAGAGGGCCCGTTAGAGGTTATTCATATTCCTTTTCATTAGCAAACCGGGCTTATGCCTGGCAGCCCCTCACTATGTTTCCCAGAAGAGCTCTAAAAGACTTTCTGGCAAGATGTTCTAGTTGAACAGGCCTTAGGGACGAAGAGAAGAGACAGATGTCACCAGGGCCTGAGGCATCTTGGCTAAAGTTAGTTTACACGGATTCACTGAGCACCTACTGTGTTCATAGCTCTGGATTGAGCAGAGAGGCAGATGGACAAATGAGAAAGACTGTCATCCCCGGAGGCGGCACTGGCATGCGGAAAGCATTCCCGTGCCCCATCCCATTCTTTCTGGAAAGCAATCCAGCCTCGTTCCCTCCCCTCTGAGCCTGCACTTCTTCCTCCTCCTTCCCTCCTCAAAGGACACGAGTGTGATTGTTTCTTTCTAGAACACCCCCGATGGGCACTTCGTTCTTGATTGCCACCCGAAGTATGACAACATTGTCATTGGTGCTGGATTCTCTGGTGAGCCTGAACAGGGGAAGACGTGCCTCAAAGCCCACCTATCTCAGGACCAGGCAAAATGGCGTCTTCTATGCTCTTGGGGGGCCAAAGCCTAGACTCGAGTGTATAAAGGGGCTGGGTGCGCAAACAGAAGAGAAGAGGTACTTCTGGTGGGAGGCAACTTCCAGCTTTGGGATGCGGACCAAGAAGAGAGTTAGCCCTATTGGGGGACAGGGTAGTAGACATCCAGAGACCCCAGCCGCTGTCCCTGAGGATGCCTGACCACCTGCTCTCCTTTCCCTAGGACATGGATTCAAGCTCTCCCCTGTTGTGGGGAAGATCCTGTATGAATTAAGCATGAAATTAACACCATCCTATGACTTGACCCCTTTTCGGATGAGCCGCTTCCCTGGCCTGGGCAAAGCCCACCTTTGACCCCTGGCCAGCAGCCTCCCTTGTGTGCACAGGAGCTGGGAATAAAGCCCTGTGGCTATTAAATGTCAGCTTGTTCTCCTGCCTCTCTTGAGTCCCTTGTCAATGCCAGATGATTGAATCGACCTTCTTTCCCTGGCCAGCTCCCCAGTCCCACTACTTTTTTGCTTCCAGAAGGTCAACCAGATAGTCTACCATCACTGAGTAGCAAGGACCTTTGAGATGGATGTCTCAATAAGGAGGATGCACAGAGACTGGCTCAGGGGACCCAGGCAGTTGTTATAATTCTCTTCACTGAGACATTTGATAAACTTGGGGTGGATTTGACTAAAGCTGCCCAGGGGAGGGTAAACAAGATGATTTGTAGGTAGGTCGCTACTGCCCTTGGAGTTCCTTTTCCTTTTTTTTTTTTTTTTTAAGATTTTATTTATTCATTTGAGACACAGAGATACAGAGAGAGAGAGAGCATGAGCAGTGGGAGAGGCAGAGGGAGAGGGAGAAGCAGACTCCCCGCTGAGCCAGGAGCCTGACGTGGGGCTCGATCCCAGGACCCCGGGATCATGACCCGAGCCGAAGGCAGACGCTTAACCATCTGAGCCACCCAGGCGCCCCTGGAGTTCCTTTTCCTAAAACTAGTCACCCTCCATCACAAACCCCCATAAAATCTGGCTCACCTTGGGTCGCCATAAATGTCTGTAGAAAAAAATGTGTTGAGCAAGCAAAGAAATGAATAGCCACATTGCATTAAAGTCTGCGGTGGGCTTTATTCTCCATGTGACCTTACTTCTTAGAGACTCTCATTGTCTAAATCAGCGCCAGAGTCCATGACCCCAGGAATCCTTGGGGTCTTTGTCTTCTCAGTGCCCTGCACCCTCTTTCCCTGAATTCTTTGTCTGGTTCTCATCCTCTCTCTGGCTCTGTAAAGACTCTTAGCTCCCCAGTCTCTCATTAGGGTGTATTGTCAGGTCCTTATGAAGATGGAGCTGTTATACCAGAAAGGAAGAGAGAGACACACTCGCTGAGAAATCGTGTTCAATGTTTGAATGTTAAATGTGCCATTTTATTATCATTAGGATTGCTCCCACTTAATGAAACGGCATTAGCACCCAGTCGGCTGGCCTCCTTGCACTTAATTGCTTTGGAAGGGAACAGGCTCCTAACTAGCCCAGGGCGGGTGGAGGGGTGAGGGGTGTGAACAGGGACTGCTGAATGTGCTCCGTGGAAACCCCAGCAAGGGCATCTCCGGACCAGGCCAGTTTGACCTGAGAGATCGCCTGCTCCAGGGAAAGAAACCCTGGGACCAGCTGGGGTGGAAATGTTAGAAGGAGGCCCTGAGCAGGAAGAGTGGGAAATGGGAATAAGAGTAAAAATGTCCCCAAAGGAAAGACAACACAGAAGAAATTGCCTCATAGGCCTAGGCACACAGATCAGCACTGATTTCTCCAGGGGATTGTAAAAGCCAGCCAGCCTCCCCAGCCCCCGCCCCCGCCAGATCTGCGTCTCGGGTGCTCTCAGAGGCTCCCCTGAAACCTCAGCCCCTGCAAAGTGGGAATAGTCACATCTGTAAAGTCAGAATAATGTGCTACAACATGGATGAGCCTTGAAGACAGGATGCTAAGTGAAATAAGCCAGACACAAAAGGACAGACACTGGAGGGTTCCACTCACGTGAGGTACTGACAGATTCACAGGGACAGGAGGTGGAATGTTGCCCCCGGGGGCTGGGGAGAGGGGGGAATGAGGCGTTACTGCTTAATGGACACAGGGTTTCAGTTCAGGAAGATAGAAACGTTCTGCAGATGGATGGTGGTGATGGTTTGGATGATGTAGGAAAGACATTAGGGTTCGAAGCTGATGGCCAAGATAGAATTCTTGAGATGTCTTTGGTGCAAAAAGGTGGTTTTATTAAAGCATGGGGACAGGACCGGTGGGCAGAAGGAGCTGCAATGGGGTCGTGAGGACTGGCCCATTGTATACTTTCAAGTTGGGAGGGGGTTAGGGATGGTGTAAGCCTTCCAGGTATTTTGGAAACAAGATTTCCAGGACCCTGAGGGGGCAAGCTTGCTATTGTTGGAAAAAGGTCATTTATTACTGTTTAGTAAACCCTCAGTCATTAGACCCTTCAGATGTATATGGGTGGGTTCTATGCTTGGGGGATGATTGTCAACAGTATCTTGGGATGTGGGGTAGAGATAAAGGAAGTTTCCAAAGGAACTTTTATATGTTAAAGTAGACTTACAGGATCCTGGAGGGTTGGGCTAAGATTGCCTTTTGCCCTTAGCAAAGTATTAATTAATATCCTGAGTCCCTAGAGGAATGTCACTCTGCCTGTTTCAAGGACTTGTCAATGGACTGTAAGTAGTAGGAAATTGAATAATTTTTCTTCTGTCTTTGTTTCCCACATCAGTTTCACAACACCACGTTTTAACCACGTCACAAACACAAACATGGTTAAAGAGAGGGTACTGAGGGGTGCCTGGTGGCACAGTTAAGCGTCTGACTCGGTTTCGGCTCAGGTTGTGATCTCAGGGTCATGAGATGATCTCTGGAGTTTGGCTCCATGCTCAGTGGGGAGTCTGCTTAAGACTCTCTCTCCCTTACCCTCTGCACCACTACCCCCCTCAAATAAATAAAGAAATCTTTAAACAGAGAGAGAGAGAGAATGTACTTAATGCCACGGAACTGTTACACTTAAAAATGATTAAAATGATACATTTCATGTTATGTATATTTTACCACAATTAAAAAATGGGAATAATAATACCGACCAACTTTACAAGAGTGGGTGAGGATCGAATCATTTATCCAATCCACAAATATTTATTGAAATTCTGCTATGTGCCGGGGACTGTGCTAGGCATTGTGGATATATCTGTGAACAAGATCTTTGTTCTTGTGGTGTTCACCCAGTCCAGTGAGAAGACATGTAAAGAATATGTATGAGTAAATTATATCCTAATTTGGAAGGTGATAAGTGCGTTGGGAAAAAGAGCAGGGCAGGGAAGACAGAGGATGCTGGGGGAGGGCTGCCCTCTGCCACAGTAGTGATGGTGGTGATGGTGGTCTGGGGGGGTGGGGGTGGGGCTCAGTGGGGAGGGGCTGCCCTGGAGGAGAGGGAGCGCACCATGCCGAGATCGGGATATGTGTAGGAGAATGTGGTCAACTGTAAAGCAAGGTATTGTGTTATTATTGAGAGAGAAAAATGGGGTACAGAGAGAGATCAGTGTAGGATCCTGCTATCTCCAAGGCTGGCAAAGTTGGGGAGAAAGGGTGTTGGGAACCTCTCCCTCTCATTCAGCGGCGTAGTTCCCTCTGCCTCTGCTTCTCCCAGTGCGGCCCTCCTCCCCCAGCCAGCTGCAGCTCCCCTTCCAAAATATCCAGTCTTATTCAGCGAGCTGGTGACAGTAAAGGAGGGGACCAATGTCTAGAAGAGGCAGAGAAAGGACAAGTGGGGGATGCTGACAAGCCCTGCCTGAAACTGGTGTGTCCTAGAAACCGAGTGCGAGGGGGAGGGGGGCGGCGGGGGCAGGCAGGGGTAGGAAGGGGTGTGTGTGGGGGGAGGGATGAGGTCAGGGAGGAGTGGAGAGAAAAAGGAACTGGAGAAGAAGAGACTGGTAATATGCAGGCCAAGAAGGCAGGTAAGGGCCTCCAGGGATGCTGTCCACCCCCAAAGCCAGAGGAAACTGGTCTGGAGTGACCAAGAGCATTTCTCACTGGGGCTGGGTGAGGTCCCAGAGGAGAAGAGGGGACGTAGGCACAGAGGAGAGGCAGTGCCACTGTAGAAGGCGGAGGTGGGGGTGGGGAGACAATCTGAGGGTTTTAGAAACACTGAAGGATTTGCCAAGACAAACCCACCAGCATTATCTCCCTGCTTCCCTCCTGCTTGAGCGTGGCCAGGCCCCCGCTTTCACGCAGACCCTACGTATCTTCAAGATGGAGGAAAACCACAATGCATTGGGCAGGCAATAAGAGACCTCTGGAAGGGCAGCGAGGGTCTGCACAGGCTGCAGGGGAGAGATAAGAGCAGAGAAGGGAAAGAGGCCGGCATGGTTGCCGACCAGATTAAGGAAAACAGAGGCAGGCTAAAAATAGGCTGGGGGTGGGGAGGGAAGAAAGCCAGTCCAGAAAAGAAGGGAAAGCAGAAGCAATGGATGCCATTGAGACTCTGACCCAATTCTTCATCTCTCAGCCTCACCAAACTGAAAAGCTAGGGAGCGACGGGGCGGGGGAAAGGGGAAGGCTGGTACACAGGGGGCAGAGTCAGAGGAAAGAATCTGAGTCCCAAGACCTAGGAAGTTGTGGAGCACAAGTCAGTAATCACGGCCTGAAAAAGAGGGGGTAACGTGTAATTAGTACTAGAGTACGCATGGGAGTTTGGTATCCCGGGACAGGATTAAGAGCCTAAGGAGTGTGGGGCGCCTGGGTGGCTCAGTTGGTTAAGCGACTGCCTTCGGCTCAGGTCATGATCCTGGAGTCCCAGGATCGAGTCCCGCATCGGGCTCCCTGCTTGGCGGGGAGTCTGCTTCTCCCTCTGACCCTCCCCCCTTCATGCTCTCTCTCTCTCTCATTCTCTCTCTCTCAAATAAATAAATAAAATCTTAAAAAAAAAAAAAAAGAGCCTAAGGAGTGTGAGTATGACTTGGAAGGAGGAGGTTCAACTGTCTAAAAAGATAAAAGGAAGCAACAAGGATGAGTTAGTCCAGAGATGGGAAGCAGGGGTGACTTGATACTTGAGTTTTACTTCTCAGAAAGGTGCTTAAAGAGAATTTGCTTATGGGATATTGTATTTCAATGGTGGGCTTCCAGGGCAACAAAAGGGATTTAGGTTAGACCTCAGGAAATCCATCCCACTAAGCAGATTTGTGAGATACTAAAACATGTACATAAGCACTCTTATGGTACCCTTTCCTTGGAAATCTTTTTTTTTTTTTTTAAGATTTTATTTATTTATTTGACAGAGAGAGACACAGCGAGAGAGGGAACACAAGCAGGGGGAGTGGGAGAGGGAGAAGCAGGCCTCCCGCGGAGCAGGGAGCCGGACGTGGGGCTCGATCCCAGGACCCTGGGACCATGACCTGAGCCGAAGGCAGACGCTTAACGACTGTGCCACCCAGGCACCCCTC